TAGCTCCCTGCTTTTGGCCTGGGAAAGCAGTAGTGTTTGGTCCAAAGCCTCGGGACCCTGCACCTGCGTGGGAGGCCCAAAGGAAGCTCCTTCTTTCCTGCCGTTGTGGCCACTTGGGGAGTGAACTAGCAGACAGAAGATCCTTCTCTCTGTCTCTCCTCTCTGTAAATCTGACTTTCCAATAAAAAAATTAAAAGGATTTTTAAAAAAAGAAAAAAGAATTTGGGTCACTTGGGAGCAGGGGTTGAGCAAGAAGGGGTGGCTTGGAATCAGGTCTGATCTGTAAGTCCTATGAGCCCAGGGCTGCCAGGCTAAAGGCTGAGCCTCTGTGTGGCTCAAGGCCCCTCGGGGGTCGCTCTCCTGACATTTACCGTGTGACTTATTTAGCAGGTGTGAGCCTTTTGTCAGTTCTGCCTCAGAGATAAATGAACAGAGGCCACTCCCCCTGGTCCTTGGGGAGAAGCAGTTCACTGAACTTCACCACCAGGCATCACTGCAGAAGCCACGGGCTTCCTGATGTCTGTGTCGTTGGAGGGGACATACAGACAGGAGGAAACCCAGCTCTTGCCCTCCCCTTGCAGCAGGCTTGGCCGCTGCAGGCAACAAGCACTCTGTCTCGTTTCAGGGTGGGGAGATGGGACCAAGATGGAACGGGCCCTCAGAGACGCACATTAGACCCACAGCCTAGGGCCTGCAGTCCCTGAACGGACACAGGTGTAAAGAGCCTATCCACAAGTCCAACAGAGCCAAGTTCAAATCCTGTGGGACAAGTCACTCAGCCTTATTGAGACTGTCTGATGGGGCGTGCAGTGCAAAGAAGTCGGCGTGTGTGTGTGTGTGTGTGTGTGTGTGTGTGATGGCAGGGAGGCAGGGTGGTAGGGGCTGGGAGTGGTGAGGGGAGGGGAGGTGCAGGTACAAACTCTACAGCACTCTGCAAGCAAAGCAGTAGCTGTGCAGAAGCGGGAGCCCTCAGGCGGGTGTCATTGCTCAGAGGCCCGTGCCAGGTATCTGAGAATGAAGCTGTGGGAGAGTAATACCACCTTGACTCCATCAGAGGTTGGCCAGGCCAGAGTCCCAGGCAGCACAAATTCCTGAGCTAATTGGTCATGAGCTCCAGGTTCCTCCTCTCCCTGGGCCTGTGAGGAGTCACCTGAGGCCCTCCCGGCTGGGATGGTGATTAGTCAGGAAATAAAGGACTGACAGGTGAATTAAGTTGATAGAAAACAAGGTTTCCCAAATGAGAAAAAGCCACTGGGGAAGACACTGAGTGGATTTTTTCTTTCTCTGTACGAGGAACCCTCTGGTCCAAAATTTCTCTCTTGTATTTTTCTTTCCTCATTAAAACCTACAATGGCAAACATTGAGTTAGTCCACACTGTTGGGAGAGGATTCCTCTGCCTGTTGAATATAAGGTCTTTAGGGTCCACTGTCTGTCCCCCACTGGGAGAGGTGTCTGCACCTACAATTTAGATTCCCTCAGCCTGAAGTGGGTAGGGACTCTGGAGCCCTGTGCTTACTCATCATTAAAGCACAAATGACAACATGCATTTAGAAGGCTCTCCAAGGACTTCGAATAGCCTAATTTGTGATTTGAAAAGATTTGACCACCTTAGTGACCAGTCTCCCTGACTCAGCCCAGATGCATTCGGACTTGCTCCTGATAGAAGGCAGCGAGCCACTTAAGCGCTTGAGCCGCTCAGGTGGGGAGGGAAATCTCTCAACTTCACCCCGAGCACCGCAATGGTCCAGGCCTGCACCGCCACCTGGTGGTCATAGTTGGAATGGCTCCAAAGGGAGCACAAAGCGCTCACTAGGCCAAAGAACTTGAGCCCATGAGTGTCCAGGCTAGAGGCTGGAAACAGGCACCCTGGGCCTTTTGGACTCCCCAGGAGTCGCACCTCGCCAGCACCAGAGGAGGAAGGCGCAGTGTTGCCCCTCACTCCCCCACACACAACACAAGTGCTCGCCTGGTGAACTCCCCACGACCAGCATCCTGTATAGTCTGTTGTCTCTCACACCTTGCCTCTTGCCCAACCTGAAATGTCTCCGCATCAGCTCCAGAGCCATGTCTTGTACCTCAGTCATCAGCCACGAGTCCCCTTCTGAAGTCTCCGGTCCCCTCAGGAGAGCATCATTGCTGGCAGTGCTGCTGTCCTACAGAGCAGGACTTTACTAAGGCTGGCCTGGTCAGCGAGCCCAGCAGAGGGGCTGGTCTGGAAGAGATCCAGCCATAGGAAGGGGCTCCACCTTTAGGGGAAATTTTTTCCTTCTTGGGGAGTCTTGGGAGATGGACTCAAATCAGGCCCCCCTTACATGCTGACTGCTCTGGGTCCTGGCATCCCCGTATGGAACAGGGGGACACAAGGACACAAGGGCCCCCCATCTCTGCAGGAGTGAGCCGGCTCTGGTTCTGCCTGTGAGTGCCCGAGCAGGTCTACATGTGATGACTTTGGATCCTACAGGTTCATTCAAGGGATTTATGGCACAGACCCTCTGTTCCCTCCCTCCCCAGCACATGATTATACCAAGCCACACTACCCATCCAAGCCTCAGCTGATTGCCTTAACTCTCCTCAACTAGTGCTCTCTGCCTGAGCCCAGATCAAGGCCGTGGGAGTTCTGACCAGGATGGGGCTTGTCTGCACACTTGCTTCTTAGCCACTGGGGCCACTGGGCTTTACACATGCATTGTGGTTAGGTGCTTCTTGTCTGCCTATTGGGGCTCTAAGAGCCCAGCGCATGGGTGGGGTGCAGGTTGTAAGAGAGCAGGACCAACAGCCAGTAACAATGACTTGAACACCTCAGGCCCCTCGTTCATCTCACATCATCCCAAGCACGCCAGGTGAGTCCCCACACCAGCCTGTGGTCAGGGGTTGGGTGGAGCTGCTCTCCACACAGCAAGTAGGGTGGGGGTAAGGAGACACTGAGGGCAGAGAACCCCGGGCCACCAGGCAGGGCACCTGGCTGTGGGAAGTTCCAAGAACTGCCAGAAGATGGCAGCACGGGCTGGCGCGCAAGGCTAAAAGGCTGAATGGGGAGCCCAGGGGGCCCAGCAGGCTCCAGCGGGGCTTCTCTGGGATTCCTTTCCAGACAGGCATAGGAGGGCCTAAGGCCTGGCTCTGAGCACGATGACCCTAGTCCAGGTGGCTTCTGGATGCAATGTGATGGTTATCGGGACCAGGCTCTTTTCCTCAATGCAGCCCAAGGCCCCTTTGATGCTGGCCAGCTGAGAATGCCTGTGGATGGCGCTCCACAGCCCTGCTCTCCCTGCACCAGCTGGTCCATGTGTCTGCATACAGCATGAGCTCAATCATCAATCGCACCTACTGTGATTACTGATTGCTGTTCTTATTACCCCAATCCCTGATGTACCCTCTGCTAGTGTCTGCCGCTACTGCTGACCCCAAAGGAGGTCAGCATGGGTCACCCATGGATTGCATGGGTGTCTACCGAGGACCTGTTTTTTTTTGTTTGTTTGTTTTTTTAATTTGCAAGCTGGAATCTGAGCTGCTTCTTTTTTTAAGATTTATTTATTTATTTTTATTGCAAAGTCAGATATACAGAGAGGAGAGAAGGAGATCTTCCATTCGATGATTCACTTCCCAAATGACCTCAACTGTCGGTGTTGCGCCAATCCGAAGCCAGGAGCCAGGAGCTTCCTCTGGGTCTCCCATGTGGGTACAGGGTCCCAAGGCTTAGTGCCATCCTCGACTGCCTTCCCAGGCCACAAGCAGGGAGCTGGATGGGAAGCAGGACTCCCACCCCTTGGTCCCACAGGGCCCTATCCTCTTGGTTGGTTGGGAGTGGCAGGCTTGTTGTCCCATTCCACAGTGGAGGCCTGAGGCCCAAGGGCTAGCTTGCCTTCAGGGCTGGAGGTACTTTTCCAAATCCATCAGGGAAAGCTACGGGCTGCCACCTCCTAGCTGGGACCCCTTGGGAGCCCTCCCGCCCCCTGCCTGGGGTTTCACACACTGAGTGTCACCAGCTCCACTCTCTCCGTGTAAACATCTTAATTACATCTTTAATGTTCTCACATAGAGATGCTGTGAGTTAAATTACAGCTTTGTGCATCCTAAATTACCCATAGCCCTCCAGTTAGTGCAAGTGCTAACGTATTTATAGCAACTAGAAGAGAAAATCAATCCAGAATCTTCCCCATTGGGCCTCCTAGGTCCTTACTACCCAACATGAGGTATGTGGCCAACACAAGAGCCACACATGCCCTCCCTGGGGCCCCTCCAGCAGAGGCTGGCAATGGTGGTGGGGCCACTGCACATGCTCACATGCGCATGCATGGCCAGTGTAGCCCTTGGAGTCTGACTCTGCCCAGTACCCTGCCCTTGCATTGGCATTGGCCCTGCCCCTCCAGGTTTAGGGGGAAGCCAGGTGCACAGAACTCCCTTGCTCACTCCATCAATACAGAGAGGCCCTTTGCAAAGATGGAGTGGAGGTGGAGAATTTAAAAAACAGACTGTGTTGCTTAGGTCTATTTCCAGGGAGCACCTCGCCTAGCCTTCAATCAGTCAGAACCACCCACATCAATCTGCAGCCACCATCCTCAAACCCAGTCTCTCCTCTCTCCAACCCTGAATCTTGATGGAGTCAGGACAGGGAGCCACACACAAAGAAACACAGCTTCCCTCTTCCCTGGGGTCTGTGAACACTGCAGCCTACCCTGATGCTCCAGAGTGGAGTCAACACAGTCTCCATTCTGCCCTGTTTAGGGACGTACACATGCTTGAGGCCTCCTGCAGGATTGGGGGGCACAGTCCCCAATATTCTCCCCTCAGCTCCCTCCTGGTCTAGAGAGCCACTGGCTGCCAGGGATGGCTGGCTGGGAGGGCCCTTGGCCACACAGATGGAGTGGGCAGCCCTCCTGACATGCTGCCTTCTGCTCCATCCTCGGCTGCCTCTCCCCACCCAGAGGAGACTCCAGACTCTAACATCCGGGGATTTCCCTGACACTGGGGAGCCCCCCATTTCCTTCCCCTCTCCTCTCAGCCACGTCTCCCCTGCCATTTCCTCCATACCAGGGAAGCAGAACAAAATGTGAACAGCCTGGGCCGGGGCTGAGGAAGCCAAGCAGCAGTGCCTCACAACCTCTCTGGCTTGAGGGTTGCCCTCCGTGCCAGGGTCCTGGGGTTAGGAGAGGTCAGTGGCCAGATGCCCAGCCTGGCCAGAGCCCTGGGCAGACAGCAGGGGGTTGTCTGCAGAGCAGCTGGGGCCTGGCCCTCCCCTATTCCCCTGAGGCAGGGCAGGTCTTGATGATCTGTGGGCAGGTGGCCCTGAGGGCATCATGGTGGCTTCTGTCAGTATTCCAGGCCCGTCCCCAGGTGGCTCACGCTTGGATGGCATTGGCTACATCGGTAAATACCAGCCGACTGGGCCTCTTCAGAGGGCCCTGGGAGGGGAGGGTGGTCTGTGGAGAGAGAGGCAGGCACATCAGTGGCATTGACCAAGGCCACGTACATCCTGTCTGGCATGTCCCCCTGGCTTTCCGGTGCTTGCTTGTGCTAGGTGCCAGCGATGCCTGCTGCCTGGCTTGCTCTCCATGAAAACTCAGCCTGGAAATACGACCCAGCTCCAAAGACACCTCCCCCAGCAGCTGTCCCCAGCTTGCCCCATCACCTTGGCAGCACTTGCAGGCGAGCTCAATCAATTGAAGTATGCATCATTTTCTTCCAGCAGTGCGGCATGGGGTGGGGTGAAGGGCCTCACCTCTGCACTCCCTAGCCCCAGCACAAGGCAGGTGCATGGCAATAATGCTCAGCAGCCCTTGAGGGGAATGGCCTTGAGTGATCAAGATTGCCAGTGTGACTTCCTGACCCCTGGCAGAAAACTAAATGGTCTCTGGACTCCCAGCTGAGTTCAAGAAGATGCAGGCTGGATAGGGGAAGGCCTGATCCTGATGATCCTTTGGGGATTTGGGGTTCTTGGGAATGACCACACAGGAGAGCTTTGGCTGGGGTCTCTACCTTTCAGTGACCAGGACTACTCCAACCCATCTGATCCTGTCCATTACTCACTCAAGACCACAGGCCCTGAGAGCAGGGGAGCCCGGGGACCAACATGATGCACCTCTTGCTGGTCCTCTCCTGCTTTTCCGGTCAAGACATGGGGGGAGGAACAAAGGATGTGCATTTGTGAATGAGGAAATGGGGGTTCAGAGAGTGCCAAGGGGCTTCCAAGATCTGCCAGTTATCAGGGCGGATCGTGGGGCTGCCTCTGGCCTGGCCTTGCACAGTAAGTCTGTGCATGGCATGATCAGGGAGCAATTCTCCCCACTTCAGAACCAACTGGCCTAAGTCCACACGCCTGAGAGCTGACAGCTGACCACCTGGCAGGTGCTGGCAAGCTGCAGGAGAACAGAGGGAGGCTTGGGTGGAGGAGGCGTGAAGTACTGCAGGCCAAGCGGGGGAGCCTGGCTGGTACCCACCTTGCCCTGTGCAGCCTGCGCGGAGGCGGCAGCCTGCATGGAGGCCCCGTCCCGTCCGTGCTCCAGCAACTCCTGCTCCAGTTCGTCTTGCTCCTCTGTGGGGTCGAAGTTGTACATGGGCATGAGCTGGTGGCGTAGCTTCTCCAGCCTGGAAGTGCAGACAGAGGAGGCTGAGGAACAGGGCTGACCCTGCCCTCCCACTAGTCCCTGGGCCCTGCCTGCTGGCAGCTGAGCTACTGCCAGTAGGCAGTGGGGTTTAACCTGGAGTTAAAGGGGAATTTTTTTTTTAACTTGTTGTAGCTATTCCCCCTCTTAGAAGGGTGGCCTGGGAAGAAGTTACCCATTCCTGGGCCTGGGGGCCCTCCGGCCATGTAGATGTGGAACATGGGGGTCCACATGGACTGCCTAGGTCAAGGCCTTGTGGAAAATCTAGCCTCTGGTGGCTAGGTGGGGGCAGGTAGGGAGTGCAGAGCGGCAGGGCAAGGGGTGCTGGGCAGCTAGGTGGAGTTCCCTCCATACTTCTTCCCTTCATCACTCTGTCAGGTAATGCCTGGAATATACACCTACCCACCGTGGCTGTGAGACAGTCACCCCCAACCTGGAGGGGACAGGAGAGGCCCTGACTCCCTCGCCACCCACACCTCCCAGAGCCCTGCCCAGCACTGATGGTGGGCTAAGTTTGAGGCAGCAACCAGGGAATTACCTCTTCTTCTTCCTGATGTACAGAACCTGTAAGAGAAGGGGGAGCATTAGAAGGCAGAACTAGGAGGCCCCAGCCAACCTGGCAGTCCCTCTGGCTGGGGGACATGTGGAGCCTGAAGAATTGGCAACCTACTGGTTCTCCCATTCTCAGGACCCCCCAGCCAACATCCATGCTGTATGTAGATGTGGATAGTGCCCAGATGGGGCCCAGGGACCCAGAGGTGGGATGGGTCTGCCTCAAAAAGCTTGGCCTAAAAAACCACACCTCAAGTGGGTTCTACTGTGTCCACACTGACAGCCCCCAGAGTCTGCCTCCTCTGGGCTGAAGGAGCAGAGGAGCACACACAGCACTCTCTCCCTCAACTTTCCCTCAGTCTAAAGCTACAAACAGGTCTAAACAGCAGGAGACAGCTGGCAGGCAGATTTTGCAGGGCCTGGGCAAGGTGCTGGGTAGGGTCCTGGGCTCCTAGGAAGTTGATGGTCTGCAGTCGGACAGAGGCACGGGAGCAGGCCCAAGGCCCTGAACATCAGCCCAGGCTGACCCCTCAGAGTCCATGTCTAGGTTCCCAGGGGCAGGACCAGGCTGTCTGAGAGAACACGCTGCAGCTCCTGACCTGAGCAGGAGTCTCCAGGGAGAAAGCACTGAACAGAGTGGAGAACTGGGACAGGGGGCGGGGAAGGAGTGGAGATGTGGGTGGCCACACAAGGCAGGGATCCCAGGGACCTCTGCCACCATTCTGCTCTTCCTGAAACTAGCAGCTTCAGGAATAGTCACTGCCCTGGTCTGTCCCAGAACCCCTATGGTCCCCATACTCCCTGGACTCCACTCACAACTTCCAGACAATGTGGCTCCCAGATGGTCCTGGACTCTTGCTGTAGGACCCCAAAGGTATCCTTCACTGCCCCCTCCTTTCCAGGCAACCCCACTCCTGCCACCATGGGGGCACCCTTTGCTCTCCTGTGGATGGGATGCAACACCATCTCTGGGGTCTTCTGGGCCTGCCCCAGCACCCTGTGCTTTGTTACCTGTTGCCATAGAACCCCTCCCTCTCCTGTGACCTGGGATTCAGCAGGTGCTATAGGAAAAAGGCCAGAGCCTTCATCAGCTCCCTGGGTCCTTGCCCCTCTGTTCTCACTGCCAACACTTGCCCCACACCTGCCTTCCCAAACCTTCCCTTGCACAGTCCAGCTGCAGTCCATCTCCTTTAGGAAGTCCTCCTCCATTGACCCTGCCCACACCAAGCTCTTTTTCCTTCTGGGAGAAGCACACAGCCTAGCATTGCATTACTACTCCTGGCTCAGCGTTAGGGGACAGGAAGCCACAGTTGGTGAACGTCTCCAGATGTGGTCCCCGTGTCTGGGAATTTTTCCCTTCTTCCCTGCCTTTGTCCACCAACCTTCCTGCCTCTTCACTTGGGGCAAGCCCCTCTCCCCAGGATCCCTGAATGTTCCTGTAGAACAAAGAGCAAGGAGCCATCCCAAGTTTCAGAGACAAAATCTTTTACTGAGAGTAGCAAGGGTAGGATCCAGGCTCTCTTAGGGCCCTGAGTAAAGGAACCAGGGTTTGCTTAACCACCACCTCGTGGTGCCAGGACAAGCTCTGGCGCTCTGCCTCCCCCAGCCCCAGGAGACCTCTCAGACCAGGCCTTGGCTTCCATGTGCTGCATCCAGGCCCTGCTTGCTGGCCTGGCAGCCGTCTGGAGCCTGCAGGGCCCATATGGTGATCCTGGTTCACCAGTGGCTCCAGCTGGGCCATGGAGGCACTCCCCACAGCCCTACTTGTCAGAGTAACATGCTCCCAAGCCTGCCAGTCCTGCTGGGAGACCACCTGTGCCCTGCCCTTCCCCATCTCAGCCTGCTCAAGCTCCAGGGGTCGCTCAAGGACATTCTGACTGCTTGTGTGTCCTCTTGGAGGGGAGTGAGACCCTTAGGACTGACACTGGCCAGCAGCTCCCTCTCCTCCCTGCAGCTGCAGTCCCCACTGTCGCTTACTCTCATTCCTCATATAAGAACCTTGTCTTCCCAGCACCTGTGGGCTCCCAAAGGTCAAGTTAAGAGCAGATGCCCCAAAACTTACCACCCCATGAATAAGTGAACAAATGCTGCCAGGAGCCCATCGTGTCCTGAGTCTGCAGTTTAGACATCACAGCTCAGAACCCAACCCAGCTTCTCCTGCCCTCTGCTTCTGCTACAGCCCCGACTGCAAACCTCGGATGCACCAGCACCCTCTTTGGGCACAGCCTCCTCACCGATTCCTAGGAGGCTGCATGGTCCAGCTCAGACTCAGACAGACCCCTCCTGGTTGTTCCAGTTGGATGAACTGCCCCCCACCATTCCGCCTCTTCACAGATACGTCTCAGGGAAGGGGAGGCCTGCATGCTCATCAACAGACAGCTACCTCCAGACTGAAAGCTCTGGAATGCCAAACCCTGGCCTTCACCACCCAGCCAGAGCCTCCCGGCCAGCCCCTGCCAGCTCCCTGCTCTCACCACGGCCACAGCCAAGCCAATCACCGTGATGACCCCGAAAGACAACAGCATGGTGCCCACACCGGCTGTGCCACTGGCCATATCAGGGACTCTTGTGGCATTAAAGCTGGTAGCTTCTGGGCTGAGGGTGGTGGTCTCAGAGGCTGACCCATCCGTGGCAGGTGCCAGGCCAGGTTCAGAGGAGGGTGGGTGGCTGCTGAGCCAGCCTCTTGCCGACAGGATCCTGGAGTTCATGCTGGCATGGAGGGGCCCTGCCCAACTGAGAGATGGCCCGTCATTCAGTCAACTGGTCCACTCGCTTTGGACATGGGGCATCGGAATGCTCCAGCCGTGGGCTGGGCTATCTGCAGAGCCACCTCCTTGGATGATGCGAACTCCTTGCCTCCCTGTGTGCAGATGAGGAAAGAATAAAAAACACATAAGGCTAAAGACAGGAGTGTGGTGAGGGGAGGAAGTTTCTCTAGCTCTGAGGGTTCTGGGGGAGATAACTGCTGGTGGGCAGGGCTGTGGGCGCCTTCAGCAGCTATGAGGACACAGGCTTGATACAGCGCTAGTTCCTGTGTGCATTCAGGTATAAGACAGTAAAGCCCAGTCACCCCTGTGGATAAGTAAGACGATCCCAGGGGTCATGGTTGGCATATACCAAAGGTATTGGGGAATTTTTAAAGAAAAAAGTCCCTCTGCAGGCCTAGCACTATGGCTCATTCTTGTCTAAATGCTTGCCTTGCAAGTGTCAGGATCCTATATGGGTGCTGGTTTGTGTCCCAGCTGCTCTACCTCCTATCCAACTGCCTGCTTATGGCCTGGGAAAGCAGTAGAGGATAGCTCAAGGCCTTGAGACTCTGCACTCGCATGGGAGACCCAGAATAAGCTCCTGGCTCCTGCTTTGGATCGACTTAGCTTTGGCCATTGTGGCCACCTGGGGAGTGAACCAGTGGATGGAAGATCTTTCTCTCCATCTCCTTTTCTCGATAAAATCTGACTTTCCAATGAAAATAAATAAATCTTTTAAAAAAATTCCCTCCTCAGGCCTGGCACAATGGCTCAGTGGCTAAATCCTTACTTTGCAAGTGCCAGGATCCCGTATGGGCAACTGTTTGTGCCTCAGTTGTTCCACTTCCCATCCAGCTCCTTGCTTGTGGCCTGGAAAAGCAGTAGAGGATGGCCCAAAACCTTGGGACCCTGCACCCACATGGGAGACCCAGAAGAAGCTCCTGGCCAACTCCGGCTGTTATGGACATTTGAGGAATGAACCAATGGATGAGGGCATCCATTTAGGCACTAGGCTATTGTACCAGGCTCAAATAAATAAATCTTTTAAAAAAATAGATAGCGACCTGGCATGGTAGCCTAGCAGCTGGGGGTCCTTGCCTTGCATGTGCCAGGATCCCATATGAGCGCTGGTTCTAGTCCTGGTGGCCCCACTTCCCATCTAGCTCCCTGTTTGTGACCTGGGAAAGCAGTTGAGGACGGCCCAACGCCCAATCCCCCCATATGGGATTCTGCACCCATATGGGGGGGGGGTCCTAGAAGAGGCTTCCGGCTTCGTATTGACATAGTTCCAGCCATTGTAGCCACTTGGGGAGTGGATCATCAGATAGAGGATCTTCCTCTCTGTCTCTCCTCCTCTCTGTATATGTGACTTTCTAATAAAAATAAATAAAAATTTTAAAAATAAATAAGTAAATAAAAGCCTCTCCCCTGTGAACTCCCTCAATCCTTACTGTCCACCCCCACCTTCTGACCCCCTGTGCACCACCCCCACTCCAATCCTTCATCCTGCTTGGGGGAAAAAAATGTTGCGGATTTTTTCCTTTTCTGGTGGGAAACATCTGTCTTGGCTAGGAGTCAAGGTAGCTTTGCTTTGAGTTCCAGCTCAGGTGTGGGTTGGCCCAAAGCAAGTCCCTCCATCTCTCCATGTTCCAGTTTCTTTGTCCAATGTGGGGATATGGAGATAGTAAGAGCATTCCATAGAATCACAGACCCGTATCACAGTCATTGAAAGGTGGGAATGAACAGCTTCCTAGAAAAGCCTTGGCTCAGGCTAGCTGATCACCCAATGAATGTTAGATCTGCCCCCAGGTCAAGCCAGTCAGAAAAGGGGCGGCCACAGGAATCTCTGGACCCAGCCCAGTGTGTGGAAGATGGGAGGCAGAGAGAGGCTAATGGCTGTCCTCCGATCACTCAAGACCTGGCCCCTTTCCCCTTTGGGGGTCTGGGGACTTCTTGGGGATGGGAGAAAGACAAAAGAAGCATCCCTTCCGAGGGAGGGGTGCTGCGTGTCCACTTTGACATGACTTCTCCCTGCTTTCCTCCTCCAGGGAGTGCAGGGAAGCTGATTTACCCAGCCCAGAGGGCCCTGGGGTAAGACAGGGTGGGAAAGGGACCTAACCCAGCTGTGAGTAGACAGGTCCTAAGTGGGAAGCATGCCCTGTGCAGGGGCATGAGTGTGAGAGAGATGTGCCCACTCCCACCGTGGCCCCTTAGCAAGGGGCTGTGCTGGCAGATCAGGAGGCAGGCAGGGGCTCACTCTTCTCTCTCCCTCCTGCTAGGTCAGGGGTCAGAGTTCTTTCCTTGGCCTTGCCATTGACCCCAAGCATGACCTTGGGACAGACCCTTAACTCTTCCTCCAGGGCCCTGCTTGACTACCTATCCCAGGAACTCAAATGACCACCCCTCCAGCCCTGCCTTGGGTCCCCAAGGAGAAGGGAAGGAACGCAGGGTGTAGAGCCAAGGCGCTTCGACCTCAGAACTCGCTGGCCCTTCTCCGCCAGGTCCTGCAGTCCTCCCTGTCCCGATCCCCACTCCCGCCTCCGCGTCTCTGTGGATGCCTCCATTTTCGCACAGAAGCAGCGACCTCAGCACTTACTTAATCCTCTGAGAGGCGCCGAGCTGTCAGAGAGTGTAAGGATGGTGGCAGCTGGCAGGAGGGCGGGACGAGGAGGGAGCCCCCAGGCCCTGCCTGTGACCGCGGCAGGTGCTAGCAGAGGTCGGTAGCTCAGTCTGAGGCGCAAGCCGGGGGCCAGCTACGGTGTAGCCACTGCAGTTGCAGCTGCAACCGCGAGTGCCAGCTCTTCCAGTCTGGACTGAGGTGGGTAGGACGGAGCGCCGGGCGGGGGCGAGGCTGGGAAGAGCAGCCTGGGGACTGGGAGTGGGGGAGCCCCGAAGCTCCAGCGCCTCGCCTCCCAGCCACGGGCTCCGCACCCCCGGCCCTCGATTGGCTGCTAGAGCTAGAGCCCGCCCAGTACAAGCCCGCTAGCTTGTCCCTTGAATCTGGTTCCGCCCCCGGCGGGAGCCAAGAGCCGAGATTCTGGAGCTCGGTTTGGATTTTCCGATATCACCCTTCCCTTTGGCTGGTGCTGAAGTCGCGTAGGGGCCTGGGGGTGGGGAGGAGGGCAGACCCTTCCAGGGCCAGGACTAGAGTCCCCCAACCCACCTCCACCCCAGCCTCCTTACGTTTCACTTTCGCCCTTGCAAACTCGAGCTCCCAAAACCGGGGCAAGCCACTAGACCAGGAATTCTTCAGCCTTTGGGGGCCTTTGCTTCCTTCTCCGATGGCGGGTCTGTCGAGGGGACGGGATGATGCTATTATCTGGGTGGTGGTATGATGGGGCACAAGCAGCCTCTGACAGTCGGCGCCCTTGGCCCAGGCGGGAAGCCCGCAGACGTGCATCCTCCCTAATCTGCAGGTTTTCCAAGGCGCTCACGGGGATTACGGGTTACTAGGTACAAGCACGAATCCCCGGGATGGAACCCGGGGAGCCACGTGACTACCGGTAGTTAGCAGTGTTCTAGTGAAGAGTATATTCCAGTGCTGAGTGTTGACAAAGTCACGTTCTGTGGGAAGCAGCCATGAATTGTGTGACAACGCCTCACAACGAGTTTCCAACTGTTGGGACTCGAACCCAGGACTCCGGCGGCCAGGGTTTCCTGTTTCCAGACCCGGGAGGGGAGTGAGAAGGTGAACACAAGCCCTGGAGTTCTCGGGGTCGCCACTCGCACCGCCACTCGCGGGCTCGGGCCCTCGGCTGGCTCTGAGACCTGGGGCCCAACTCAGCCACCACGCGCAGCTCGGTGCTCTTCACAGGATACAGCTAGACCACGCCCCCGACGCCGGGACCCCGCCCCGGAAGGCAGGCCCGGGAGCGCCACGCCCCCTGTACCGGGTTCCGCCCACACCCTCCTCCCACCGTGTGGCTCGAGGCTTTCTGCGAGCAGTCACCTCAGATTGGATCCGTGTTTTTTTGTTGTTGTTTTTGCTGTTATCTGCTTGCCCCCCCCCCACACCTCTTTCCGGCTTGTGCGTCTGCGGGGTGTGGTGGGCGTGGAGTCCACCGCCTGCCTATTCTGCGTTTGGAACATCCGTGGTGGAACTCAGCAGCAGCGTTAGGAACCCTGGAGCGGGGCAAACGGCGTCCACCCGAGCCGATTCTCGGTTGCGCCGGTCCGGAAGCGGGGTTTCTGAGGAGGGCGTGGGTTATGCACGTCTGAGAGCCTGTCTCAGGGCGGGTCGGGACAATTCCTCTGTGATTTGCGTTAGCGTAGGGGATTCGGGTAGAGGGGCTCCTGTGTAAACCCCGGGAGGCCTGACGGACCCGGTTCCTCACAGAGCAGAAGGGAAACGCTCGGAGAACGGGGCGACCTCACCTCCGCCTTCGGCGGCGCCGCACGCCCTGAGGAGACCGCCCGTAGCTGCGGATCCTGATTCCTCCTGAGGCAGGGGGTACCGCGCCGCCTCTGGAGTCAGGTGCTGCCCTGGATTCCTGTCCTGCCTAGGGAACATTTCTAGCGGGTTGTGCACGGGCGAGACTCTTCCCTTCTTGGAGCCTGTGGCTTCTGAGGAGTGGCCTGTGGCTGGTTTGGACCTTAGTCTCGCTGGAAGGAAAAGGGACCACCGGGTTTCGCCTTCAGTTAAACTTGTGACTCTTAGATGATAACGTTGTTCATTTGTGTAGCTGACTGTGAGTGCTGATGCTATGTTAAATGAAAGGGAAAATTCCAACAAACAGTGGCAGCTCATGCACATGTCAGGACCAAAGTTACCCAGAAATGAGTCTCCCGTCTTTTGTAGTTAGTAATAGCCTCTGAGTCCCTCTGTGTGATTATCCTGGGCTACGTAAAGAACTTAGCCAAGGTCAAGGTCAAATGCAGAGCAAATGCAAACCCATGACATGACCTGCCAGCAGCTTGTTTATTAGCAGAGATTGAACTACAGGTTCAGTCCTCCTCAGTTAAAAATTTGGAGAAAACCTAACTGGCTAAGATCAGAAGAATTTACTACTTGGGTGAGGGTCTAAAAGGGCCTTCCTTAAAAGGGTCAAGAGGTGGCAGAAGCAAGCGTGGGATCCAGCTGCTCTGCTGGTTCTCCCCTTCACCCCTCCAGGGGGCAGCCACATCTGAGGAACAGAGCTGCTGTAGGGGAGCCTAAGACCTCTGTGTCTCTACCCAGCTGGGGCCAGGGACCACCACTCTCCCTACCTACATCAGCAGCTGAGATCACCAAGGGCCTTTGAGAACCTGGGGTCACTCAGGAAAGCTCTTCTCTGCGACATGAAGCTTTGGGGCCGAGTGCTGAGGCCCCTTCTGTCCTGCCCAGAAAGGATCAGGCGTGCTCAGGGCTGGACTTCATCCAGCTCAGGGCAGCCCCATGCGCCGTTGGCTGGGCTATGGAGTGCCACAGGGCTGGTCAGCCACTGGACAGAGGTCTTTAAGAAGAGAGGCATCCCTGAAGCCCGGGAATCCAGCGAGTACATCGTGGCTCATGTCCTTGGAGCCAAAACAGTTAAGTGTTATGTTGTTAGGAGGATAGACGAGGGAGGACTTTGGGGGAAGGAGCATTAGGCTTTCTTACTTCACCATGTGCTTAGACTGGAGGGAGTTTGCTGAATTGAATATCTTAGGCAAATAATTGTTCATCCAGTCGACAAGCACAGTGTGTGTACATCAGGCCCTAGGGGTTCAGGAACGATCCCCTAGTGTGGGGTTTGTAGTATTGTCCACATACAAAACCTGGGTTAGGGCCTCAGGACCAGGAGGCCAGCAGCTCATACACACTGTGGGGACAGTTTCAGAGCCTGAAGCCGGTGCTTAGGACCCAGCCTCTGACCCCTTGGCAACTACGGCGTGTTCAGGAGCTGTGCAGCCACCGACTGCAGAGGTGAGCACCCATGAGTCAGACCTGAGGGATCTGCATGGAGATCAGAAGTCCAACCTTGTTACCAAATGCAGGGTCGGGAAGGTCTGTGTCCAAGGCTCGGGAGGTATTGGGGTAAGGCAGTGGTGAGAGGGAGACCAAACTTTGGCAGGAGTCTCAATGTATTTGGGGATGTGGTCTTGCCACCTGTAAGCACAATTGGTACCCTGAACCTGGCATGGTCCTATTGGTCCTGGTTCCAGCTCTGATGACAACCTGGTTTTCCCCTCTGCAGGATGCCCGTGCAGTACATCCTTGGCGAGTGGGATTTTCGGGGACTCAATCTGAAAATGATGCCCCCAGTGTTCATTCCTCGTCCGGAGACAGAGGTGAGTAAGCCACACTGCTGGAGCCAGGTGGGTACCAAAGTATTGCTCAGGACTTCTGTCTTGCTGTAGACTTCCTCCAGGGGGCGCTGGGACCACATGACTGCAATTCTAGCAGGCAGGGTTGGTGGGACCAAGAAGAAAAGACTCTTGTTGGACCCGTTGGCTGTCCCTGTGTCCCAAGTTGTGGTTCCAGCTTCTAGGACTGGTTCCAGCCCATAGACGGGTTGTGTCTCCTCAGTGCTTAGCTTATCCTTACCGTTTCCCTAGGAGCTATCTTAGGAGGCATGAGGAAATGAAGAAGCTGTCTCTGAGCTGTGTGCCGTTGTGCACATGACAGCCCCTCTAGATCCAGACGATTGAGAGGGTTGGGCTCCAGACCAATGATTCTGTGACTTGGTCCTCTCAGGCCTAGGATCTGGTCAGGTCATTGCCTGTGTCAAGATTCTAAATGGATGGCATTGAGGATGCTGTCTCTTGATGCGACACCCTAATCTTGGAAGGAGATGCGTTCTATGGCCTTCTCACACTTCTTCCTGACCTTACTGATGGCAGAGCTGGGAGCCAGGGAGAGTAGCAAAGCCTGGTGGCCAGGCCAGAGGCTACTGTGTTAAAAGACAGGATGTTTCTGGAAAAAGATAGCTAGGCCTGCAGAGTGTTCCTGTGAGGGCTCAGGCCCAATCCTCCTGGCGTCGGCCTGAATCCCCCAGCCAGTAAGCTGATTGCAATCCTGCATGGCGTGCCTTTGGCAGGCTGTCTCTTCCTTACTGTCCCAGCAGTCAGGGCAGGCACAGGAGGTCTTGCTGAAGTCACAAGGCTTTCGAGGGGAATGTGAGGGCAGCCCTTGGTCTTCCTGCCTCCTTGTGTGAAGCTGTGCCATTGAAGGTCAGTGTGATCTGGGATGAAGTGCAGACCTACGGCAGGATGTGGCTTGCCACCTGCAGTCTTTTCGGTAGCCACCCCATGACTCCCCCAAACACGTTACTTCTAGCCAGGAAGTTGCTTGTCATTCCCTGAGACTGCCAAGGGTCAAGACATGGGAAGGCAGCTTTTGTGATGACTTATGAGTCCCTTTAGAGCTGGCACCAGCCATTTATTCTGGGCTTCCGGGTGTTGAGTGTGGGTTTCCTGTTCCCATGTGGCCTCCCCTTTGTTGTGTGGGTCTGGGCTGGGGGAGCAGCTTTGCTGCGAGGGGTGGGTGGAAGGGGGAGGGGATGTGTGGTTTAGAGGCCAAGTCCTCAACTAACTGTACAGACATTTCTGAGAACTTGCCAGGTTTGCCCGTGTGAAGCCACATGGGGAGGGGGCGCCTTACCAAGAATTCAAGAGGACGTGGCCTGTGGCAAGAAGTGGGGAGCTTGGGTGCAGAGCTGAGGGTAGGGCTTGTGTTGCTGCGATCTCTCTGCCCATTGCAGGTGGTTTCTGAGGATGGGTGCAGAAGTCACAGGTGGCACGTGCCTTGGAGAGTGGGGCTTTCCCTGGGGGGTGAGAAGGCTACTCAGTCTCTGAACTGCCACTGTGTATAGCAGGAAACCCAAAGCTGAGGTGCAAGCCATTCTGGGCCCAGCCTGGTGTGGGGAGACTGTCAAAGTGTGAGGGTGGGGAGAACCAGTGCTCTGTCTGTTGATTGGTTTGGGAGAGACAACATCACCTTCCTGGTGCTACCCCACCAACATGCGGTCCTCATTGGGTTGCTCCTGGCCCCTAGGTCCTGCTGAGGCTCAGGCCAACTTCTTGAGGGGTACAGGAGTCCAGGGTACTCCCCACCTTCTTGCACATCCCTGTCTCTCCACCCCAATGTGGTCTTGGATTCTGCCCATGTTTAACGGGAGATACCCAGGACTTGTGACTAGCTTAGCTTGTAGCCATGCCCAAAAGGCTCATCTGCAGGCTGGGGGTGGGGTGCTTCACTCCAATCAAGATGAGCCTCCTGTGGCGTGGAGTGAGAGGTCACTGGTGAGAGAGGTGGTCTTCCAGCCTCACACCTACCTGAGGTGAGTAGTGTCTGAGGCCAGGGGCATATCTGTGAAGTGGCTGACCAGTGTGGCTGGCAGAGAGGTCATCTCCAGCCAGAAAAGGTCTATCTGTGACCAGAAAACCAAGAAACTCACACCTTGACAAGGTTGGGTCACCCTGTCAGACGCTGGGCATGTGACCTCAACACCGAGACCGCAGGCTCTCAGCCACAGCCTGGACTGCTCACTCTGTGCTGGTCCCAGCACTCAAAGCCGGCTTGCTATGAGCCCTGGGGGTCCCTAGTGGTACCTGCACAGCAAGCGCCTGTAAGCTGTTTCTGCCTGTGTCGGGCTGGCTGTAGCTTCCTTGGTAAGGAACACCCAGAAACCACAATAGGAAACATTGGACCTATTGGCCAAGTTCTGCCTGGCTTGAACTTGCTACCCTTGGGGTGGCTGAACTTTGCCACTGGAGTTGGAAGGACCCAGGAGAATGACCTGTCTTTTGAGCCTTAGCACAAGAAACTGAATGGAAATTGGGCCTGAGTCACCTGGAGCCCTCTGCAGCATTGGGCCTGGCTGGGGGCTTTGATGTCTTATGTGGGCCCAGGACACTGAGACTCAGAGGATGGCTTCTTGGTGCCACAGAGAACGTGTAAGAAGTAATCAAGAGGCCCCTCTGTGGGACAAGTCCTGCCTGTGTGAGTTGCATGTAATGGCCAATCCCAGTCTTCCTTCCACTGTGGACAAACCTCCTCCTAGACCTTGGACTCCAGGATCTGGGGAGAGCAGTGGCAGAGCAGGCCTGAAGGGGAGTAGAGGAGGGCTTTCTGAAGAAGATGGGCCTCTTCAGACAGGGGAACCCCCCATTTGCTCCCCATTTGCTCCATTCCCTGAGTCAGTCCTGCCCAGAAGGTGGGACCCCAGGAGTCCTGAGCCTTTAATAGCACTCTTCTGCCCATGTCCAAAGGGATGACTTAAGAAAGGGGCCACACACTGCCCCTTTGCCTACTCCACACCTGGCTCTATGGGTCCCTTCTCCACTGCTGGTTAGAAACATCAGTGCCCACCCTCCACCATTCCCCTTCCTGGTTCCCACACACAGAAACTGCCCCCAGCAAAAGGACAGGTGAGCCTTAAGACTGTGTTGTTTTGTAGTGAGAATATCTGGAAGTGTCTTCTTGCCACCAGTTAAACAGTGCAGTCAGGTACTTCCCACTACATCTATGGTGTTTACCCTATGCTGTGTGTGTGTGTCACAGCCTACCCTGTCTCTTCCTTCAGTCCAGGAGCATCCCTTGGTACTTCCTAGCTCAGCCCTGTGAGGAAGCTGGGGCCCCACCAGCCCCTGAGTCTTGACCACTGTGTCACAGGCCAGGCTCCATGGGAGCTGTAACTCTTGGGCTGCAGTTTCCTCTTGGGAAAGTCAATTGACGGAAGTAGGACCAGGAACGGAGGGAGGTATGGCCAGGTACTCCTTCCAGAGTGGTTCCTAGCATTTCTATGAGCACAGAGAAGGGTGTCTGTAAGGCCTTATTTATTGAGCATCTATCTTACAACAGGTGTGGAGTTAGTGCCTCACAAGTGTGCCTCTGTTCAATCTTCACAAACTGGGTTATCTGCAACTGTGCTTGGGATTACAGATGGAGAAACTGAGGCATGGAGTGGCAAGGAGACCTGCTTCTGGCTCCAACTGATATGAAGGCAAGCCTGACTTTGGCCTCCCCCTTTCTACAGCTGCACAAGGGCTAACTCTGATCTATATCCCTGTCATAGGAACTGGTTGAGTGGGTACTGGAGGAAGTGGCCCAGAGTCCATGTGTGGCAAGAGCCCAGGGTGGCCCCCTCATTCTGGAAGTGGGCTGTGGATCCGGAGCCATTGCCCTCAGCCTACTGAGCCTACTGCCAGAGGTAAGCCCTGCCACATCCCGTTACCCCACCCTGGCCAGACTGGATTGACACTCTCCTTTTCTTGGCTTTCATCCCCCTCGTTCACTGGAAACATTTGAGGGGAATGACCAGAGGATGGAGGATAGGGCTGTGCCAGTTCTTCATGGTCTCCCCTCCGCTCCCCATCTGTCTGGCTCAACCTTGGTTGTAAAGAGGAAGAGGCTGTTGGCTGTCTCCTTCCTCTGCAGTGGTTGGGGGTGTATGAGGAGGATCCCCAGGACTGCTGCCTTGGAACACTTGGCCTCCCATGCACCCTTCATTTCTTCTTGGGGCAGGGTCAAGTCATTGCTGTGGATCAGGGAGAGGCTGCCATCTGTCTGACCCACGAGAATGCTCAGAGGTAGGCGGGCTTGGTGGGGGAGCCAGGGCAGAAGACTTGGACTGTAAGGCCTCAACTTGATCCTTATTCAAGTATCAAGTCCGCTAGTGTCTGCTTTCATTCTTAAGTGGGGAGGAAATGGGGGTAGCCTGGTAACTGTCCCATAGGGTTATGAATGAGTGATGGGTATGGTGTCTTGCATGTCTGAGACGGGTTCATTTGTCCCTCCCAACCTCTGGTACCCATAGGCAAGGACAGATATCTGCCTCCCATGCTTATTCCTGCCCCTCATCTCTGCAGGCTTCAGTTGCAGGACAGGATTCGGATCGTCTGCCTTGATGTGACCTTAGGTATCTTCCCTCCACCCCACCCCCTATTGTGCCTAGGATTGAGTTCCTCAATGCTGGTGGGGACCATGCTGGGAATGGGGAGAGAGCCTTCCACCTGTCCCTCTTCCACTGATACACATGGCATCCGAGAATAGCCCTTGCTCAGCACGGACAAGTGGCTCTTGTCTCCTTGGCTGACCCAACCCAAGAGGAGACCAGCCACGGGGATTTTCTTCACCTTCTAAATCCCCCATCACCAGTGTATCTCACAAGCATTTGCTTATTGTTGAGGAATAAGCAGAGGCTCAATAGAAAGCCTTTGGGACCAAAATCCTTGAGTGCCCCCTGCACCCACCTGGCCCAGGAAGGCATGATCCAGATGCAGCCCCTCAGCCTCAGCCTCAGCCTGGGTAGGGTCCTCAGGATTCCAGCTCCAGCTCTGGCTTCATCTCATTACCCATGAGGTCGTTGAACTTCATGTGCCCCCTCCAGGGAGTTTGGTAGACCTGGTGTGGCATCTGGTTCAGGTAGAGCTGGTAAATGGCCATCAGGATGGACTTATGGAGGCCAGGCCTACTCTCTCTGTCCTCTCAGATGAGGCTGGCTCAAGGCAAAGTATGGCAAGGCCAGGAGGATGTGGAGGAAAGAGGCTTTTGTCAGGTAATCTGAGAGGACTTCCTGGAGGTGGCACATGAACCTAGTATTGCTTAAGAATGAGGTTTTTGATAGGAAGAAGAGAGGGCAAGGATATTCTAGGTGCAGAATTTCCCTGTCCCGGCATGCGCAGTTGTGGCTAGGCTTCTGGTTAGGAGACTCTGGGCATTGATTTCCTAGCAAGGCTCGTGAGGCCAGAGAAAGGCCCAAGGGGTAGCTTGCATGGAGGGAGTGCCCAAGGGACCTGGTAACCAGTGGAGCTGACATTGTCTCCTTCCTAATGGACCAGCTTGTGCTCTCTGTCTGCTTCTTTAACCACAGAGGGGAACTGGACACACCTTCTACCCTGGGGCCCTGTGGACCTCATCGTCAGCAACCCTCCCTACGTCTTCCACCAGGACATGGAACAGCTGGCCCCAGAGATTCGCAGGTGCTGGGAGTGGGCTGGGGGCAGGCCTGAGAAGGCCTGGCAGGATTGGTCTGTTCAGCAGGCCCACCCGGTCAGGAGGACTCAGAGTACAAATGGGCAGGAACAACAAGAGGCAGCGGTGTTGAGAGGATACCTTATGGAGGTCACAGTCCTACCCGGGCTCAGCTGCTGCCTCCCCAGTCAACTCTTAGGCAGCCACTTTGCCTCACTGAGCCTCTGCAGGAAAGCAGTGGTGCTGGGCAGGGCGCTGGGGAGGGCTTTGATGGTTCTGTAGCTGCTACTGCAGTATGGACTTGTAGATAGGTGCATCATTTTACATAAGGCTGAGGCCCAGAGAAGGAAAGGGCCTGCTTTAAGCTGCAGGGGAGCTTCCCCACAAAGCTGAAATTAAAACTGCTCCAGCCAAGCATCTGCCCATCATGCTCTCACACAGGGGCTGAGAACCAAGGTTAGCCAGGGGGGCCCCCAGACAGGGCAGCAGCAGTGTGGGTCTGGATGTGTGCTCTACTTTCTGAGTTCTCAGGGGGGAGTAGTCAGGACCAGTTCCAGACCTTCCCAGACCAAGAGCCAAAGCAGCCCTGGGCTATCAGTCAGCAAGATTCAGTAAGCATGCCTGGCCCTGCCTGACAGGGTGCTGCCTGCAGGAGTAGGTGGACAGAAGTGGCCATCCTTTTTGGGCTGTCTTCCTCCTGGTCTTTGGGCTTTCATCTCTGTAAAGTACAAATTCTATGGAGTCCCTCTGGTGAGACCCTCAGATACCCCACACAGGCTCTTATCTCCTATTGTTCTGTATAGCTATGAAGATGCGGCAGCCCTAGACGGTGGGGAGGAGGGTATGGACGTCATCACGCATATCCTGTCTCTGGCACCCTGGCTCCTGAAGGACTCTGGGTATGGATGGGGCAAACCTCCCATTGTGTGCCAGACACATCCCTGGCACTCACTCTTTCCTGCTCCTCCTGGCAAACCCAAAAGTGCAGGTCCCAGGCCTGCCCAGTTGAGCTGCACAATTTCTCTCCCACATAGAAGCATCTTCTTGGAAGTGGACCCAAGGCATCCAGAGCTTGTCAACAGCTGGCTTCAGAACCGACCTGGCCTGTCCCTCAGTCTCATGGCTGTGCGCAAGGACTACTGTGGGAGGTGAGGTTCTGCTATCCCTCTGCCCCCATGGCCCTCCAGGCTGTCTACTGCTCTGGCTGTGAGAGGAGTGTGCTGCCCTGCTCCTTGATATGTCCTGGCACTCAGGCAGTAGCCAGCACTCTATGTTTGTCTTCTCAGGTCCCGGTTCCTGCATATCCAGAGATCTGGGCCATAGCGTGGTTGCCCTGTGATGCTTGGTCACGGTCCCAGCCTGCCCTAGTGCATTGCTGGCTCTTACTGGAATGCTGCTCAGGAAGGAGGGTCGCTTGCCAGGACCCAGAGTGTTTGGGACATTTCCCATGGTTCTGGGAGTCCCATGCTCAACATTGCTGTAAGGCCTTGGATAGAAACAAGGTTGGAATGTTCTTGCTGGGACAGCCAAGAGCAGGCACAGCTCCTGTTTAGCTTGGGAGCTCAACAGACCTGACCTCCTGGTCTGGCTCCCTGTATGTTAGTGTGTCTGAATGCAGATTCTTAGCAACTGTTCATGGTTTTGCTGTGGGGGAATTGAGCAATATGGCCATAAAGTATAGAGACTGACAAATGGTGATCCAGTCTTTGGTATTGATTGTGGTTCCCTGCCCCTTGCCCCCAGGTAGTGCTGGGAGTGAGAGCTTCCTTCTGCCCCAGCAAGGTGGCTATGCATACGCTGCCTGGTGAAGAAGGTGGGGTGCAGTATGGAAAAAGGCACAGAAGAGCTCACTCTGGGCCTACGAACATGATAAGCCTGGCACTGGGCAGCCCACTTTCACAGGCTGAGTCTACCCCCCCCCCCAGTGAGTGCCTTCCCCTGATTTGTCCCACTGGTAATATTAGTAGCTAGAATCTGGATGTGTAACACACACGGACCCAGGATCTCTAACTGGGAATTTGGGTGTCTCAACTGCTGTGTCAAGCATCTGTTCCTGTTCACTTTATAATCTTGCAGCTTTAGTTCCAACATCCTTTCCCAATTTAATTTTGAGGCTTCAGATTGCCTACCTGCCCCTGGTTGAGGTTGAGGGCAGTAAGAAGCCAAGACAGCATCTAAAACTGGCACCCTAGCTCTGGTCTGTGCAGACTGCTGGCCACCCAAAGGTCCAGCTTTCTGTCAACAGTGACAGGAAACTTCTGGGTTGGTGGGTATGGGAGTGATCTTGGGGTCCTGTGGAGTGTGGCCAACCAGATTCTTTGTCACACATTGCCCCTATCCTGGCACTTTTGAGACTGACCCAAGGTGCTGCTGCCAGAGGCAGTGTGGTCCCATGGGCAGCATCCTCTGTGGGAACCAGGAGAGCTGAGTCCCAGAGTTATGTCTTGCAGTGAAACCTCAGGCAGCTCCTTTCCCTGTAAGAAGCTGGCTCATTTAAGTCTAAGACCAACACAAAGTCACAGCCTCATTTTGCTCCCAGTTACCCAAGTAGCTCCTGTGTGTGTTGGTATCTCAAGACAGTTGTGCTGACCTCATAGCAGTCTACCACCTCTTTGTCCACTGGCCTGAACTACACTTCAGCCCTTGATGGTATCAGTTTCCTGGCCTCAGGCCCAGTGCTGAAGAAGGGCCTCGTGAACATGTGGGTGCGATACTCTAGAGTACAGTGATGGAGAGTGACAGCGTGGGGCAGCTGAGGTCACTGGGGCAGGAGCCACCTCTAGGAAGTTTCTTTCTCAGCAAATGTGGGCCTCCCTCCCCTGGGAAAATGGTCTTAGCTAACTGGACTGGCAGGGTGAAGCCTTCAAGACCATTAGCTGCAGACTTGATTGGGCCCCAGCCTGGACCATCACTGTTCCAAGTTCTTGCCTCAAACCCTTGCCTGGCCCCACCATGACCTGCGCAGTCCCAGTAGGTTGCTCTGTTCTGGTCTAACGAGGAACGACAGAGGAGGAGAGGACTCTGGAGCCCTTAGCCCTGAGTAAACTGCTGTCAAGACATAGGGCCCCACTGCTGGGAGGCCTAAAGGCTCCTGGCCCAAGCTGAGGAACCCACTAACCCCTCTAGACCTGCAGGTCCTTCCCCATTCCCTCACCCTGGCTGCTGCTCTCTACTACCTGGACATTAGCCTCCGGACAGTAACCTCCATTCCTTGCACGCACCTTCCTTTGGCCCAGGCAGTGCATCAATTAGAATGCCCTTGTCACTGCCTGAGTCATTCACTCCTTCGATTTCCAGCACAAAAGCTGCCTCCTTTGGAACACCTGCCTTGAGTCTGTGTTCTGGCCTGACCCTAACCCACATCTTTTGCAGCTCTGATGATGTTGTGTCCCATGCATTTGCAAATTTGCCCTTCTCATTCATCTCTCTGGAGACCCTGTAGTTCGGCATACTCTGTACCAATATGCTGACAGTATATACATTTTCTAGAACAGGGCTAGAACTTCTTGCGCAGCCCACATCTGAATGACAGTGGCTCTCATACACTTTGGTCAGCAGGGAGAGGAAGCTTTGAGGACCTGGCGTCCTGCCTGAGCTAGGCAGCTGTTTGAGCTGAGCCATGGCCACTTTGAGGGCTCAAGCTCACTTGATCCCTGCATACAACCATGCTGGGAGAACAGGCTGTCCTTGGCGGCAGCAGAGGCAGGTGCCAGATTTCCTGGAGCTCTTGGCCCAACCATCCCCTAGCAGGGTTTTGGCTAGTACAGTGGCCTGATCCCCCCTGAAAACCCCCTACCCTGGAAAAGCTCCCTGGATTGGATTTGGGACTGGCAAGCAACCCTATCCCTCCTCTGGTAAACAGATTAATGCCCTCCAAGGATGCCTGTGTCCTAATCCCCAGATTGTAACTAAATTACCTTCTCTGACAAAACAGACTTTATCAGTGTGATTAGGATCCTGGGATGCAAAGATTACCCTGGGTTATTCGGATGAACTCAGTGTGATCACAGAGGTCTTTAAAAGAGGGAGGGTGGCAGATAGGTCAGTAAGGGCGAGAGAAGACTGAGGAAAGCAGCGGAAGCCCCAGGGGTGCAGTTGCTGGAGGAAGGGTCCTGAGCCAAAACAGTGGACAGCCACCTCTTGCTTAGAGCTTCAGGAGGGAACACTGACCATACCGCCGACACCTTGATTGTTGAGCTCAGTGAAAGAGACCTTAAATTCCTGACCTTCAAACTGTAAGATGACATATTTGCCTGTTTTTTTTTTCTTAACATTTATTTATTTTTATTGGAAAGGCAGATATACAGAGAGGAGGAGAGACAGAGGAAGATCTTCCATCCGATGATTCACTCCCCAAGTGGCCGCAATGGCTGGTGCTGCGCCCATCCAAAGCCAGGAGCCAGGAATTTCCTCCAGATCCCCCACGTGAGTGCAGGGTCCCAAGGTTTTGGGCCGTCCTCGACTGCTTTCCCAGGCCACAAGCAGGGAGCTGGATGGGAACTGGAGCTGCTAGGATTAGAACCGGCACCCATATGGGATCCTGGCACGTTCAAGGCGAGGACTTTAGCTACTAGACCACTGCGCCAGGCTGGAAAGGCAGATTTATAGAAAGAAGGAGAGACAGAAAGATTTTTCCATTTGCTGATTCACTCTCCAAATGGCTTTAACTATTGGAGCTGAGCTGATCTGAAGCCAGGAGGCTCCTCTGGATCTTCCACGTGGGTGCAGGGTTCTAAGGCTTTTGGACATCCTCTACTGCTTTCCCAGGCTATAAGCAGGGAGCTGGATGAGAGTGTAGTAGCTGGGACATAAACTGGTACCTATAAGGGATCTTATTCCTGCAAGTCAGAGAATTAGCTACTTGAGCCATGGCACTGGCCCCTCATTTGTCTGATTTTCAGCCACTAGCTGTGTGGTCATTTGTTCCTGTATCCTTATGGAAGCTAATCCAGGTGTTTGTGCCCAAGATAGAGTGTTTCTATAACAAACACTGGTTTTGAAATTTGATGTGGAAATGAGCAAAAGTTGGAAGGATTCTAAGACACATAATACAGTGCCTTGAATACCTCTTGTCAGAGGGTGATGGGTCAGGAAGGACCACCCTCAACTTGGAGGCCTGGTTTGCCCAAGTCCCCTGTCCTCAAGTCTGACTATTGCTGGAGAGCTGACCCTTTCTTAGAGTAAGAGGACTGGAAAACTGACTAGGGTGAATCCTGGAGTGAGGCTGATCCAGGTACCTTGTCTGTGATGTGAACCCAGCAGCTCCTGGCTTTGGCCTGACCCCTTCTTATAAGCTGTGGAGGGGTTGAACCCCCTCCTAGCCACCAAGCTACCTGGCTTTTGCTGTGGGATGTGGTAGGGTTGGATCACCATTCTGTTACTGGGGTAGAATTGTGTCATCCCTGGGGCTCTGAGCCCTTGGACTCCAGAAATGGGTGCTTTTGACCCCTAAATGAGGGGTACGTAAGGGTTCTGGAGGCACCATTTCACCTGGCTGAAGCCAGTCCAGGGCTCTCAGGGAGGTCAGCTGGGTTCCCTTGGCCTCTCTCTCTGTGGGAACCATAATATTGGTCTTTCCCAACCATTTTCCTGCAGAATAAGAGAGGCCACCTCATTAAGCCACAGGCCTCACCTAGGAGTGACAGGGAGAGTTTCTGGAAGGCTCACCAGGAGTCTCATGCCAGGTTTGAGAACTGAGAACCAGAGGTCAGCCCATCTGGACATTTGAGTCAAAGGACCAGCTTGGCCCCAAATCCTCCAGATGCACTTTGTCCTAGAAGGGGTTGGTTATGCTAAGACTCAGGCCCAGTCCCTGAGTTTGCCCCATCTTCACCCCACCCCATTTCCCAGAGAAAAGAGCTACACAAAGTCAAGCAACCCTTGCCTCCTGACCCCTGGTCCAGTATTCTCAATCCCCATTGTTTCCAAGGGCCCACAGCCCTTTTTAAACTGGAGCTTCTAAGCCTAGAGTTCTGGTCCCTGAAGCCCTCAGGTTCATGGCTGAGGTCACCTTTGATAGCTCAACTATAGCTTGGGATATGTATAGAGCTGGGACCCATCTCAAGCCTGATAGCTATAAGAATTAAGTTTATACCTTCCTCCCTGTGGAAACTGGCTGTGTACCCTAGCTACTGATACCTGAGGTATTTGGAAAGGCTCTTAAGGCATCTTTGATCTTAAAACCAAAAATTAGAAATCTAAGAGCTTCAAACACTTAAGATTGTTTTTTCCTAAAGACCACCCCCTCCACCCACCACACACAACCACCTATTTCCTTCCTTGTCCTGTTCTGCAGGAAAATGGCCAGGAAAGGCCATTATTACAGTTCCCATAGAGAGGTGCAAGGGAAGCCCAGCTTGACGTACCTGGGAGCCCTGGACTGGGCTGATCTTTCCCTGGCCCCAGCCATGATGGAAGGGGGAGTAACCTAGGGAGGGATAGTTACAGCTTGAAGCACCATAGAAGTCCCTGTGCTACAGATGAGGAAATTGAGGCACAGCAAGGGTAGGGGTGAGGCTTGGACCTACATCTCTCCTGTTGCTCTTAGCTAGCAGTCCTTCCCCTGTCAGCTGAAGACCCCCCGCCACCCTGTCTTTCTAGGAACAGTCCTGCCTGTTTTGTCATTCTTGGAAGTCAGCGTGAGGCTGAGCTACGTGGGCGAGGACAGCAAATCCCAAGCTAGCGCAGACGGAGCCTTGCTTGCCCTCAGATCTTGAAGCTGAGGGAATGACCCAGGCTGTCTGCTAGGTCTGCCTCCATCTCCCTGCCTCTTGAGCTCCTACTGAGCCCTGGACTCCAAGCAGCTGCTTTGCATTTATTCATTTTAAATTGCCCACACAACTACAGACTGGGTTTTGAATCATCTCTCTGTTGAGGACACAGAAGCTCAGAAGGGTGCAGGCATGGTTCAGGTGGCACAGCTGGACCGGAAGGAAAGACAAGGCTGCCTTTAATGCCCATCTGACTGTCAGAGACTGAGACTGGCACAGTCCTGGGCTCCCCTTCCAGAGCTCTGGGCAGAGGTCCTGTGGGTACTCAGAGCAGGAGCAGGGGCTGCCAGGACCATCTCCAGAGGACTTTCTAGAAGCCCAGTGACATCTGATAGGCCCTTGCCCTGAAGCATGTGCAGCATAAGGCCAGGAGCTCAGACTCCTTAGCCCTTGTGCTGGGTTCCCAGGGGACAAACCAA